ACAAATTTGTTCACTCTTGATCTACATTTTAATGTGGGAACAAATGCAAGCGGAGCCCCATTCACTAAGTCAGAGATTTTCATTACAGCTGATGGCTCTAGGCAAGAGTGTGAATGGAGGGAGCGGAGGGCTGCAGAGCAATACTTTGAAGTCTCCAAATGCAGACAGCGAGAGCTTTTGGAGCATCATAAATAATAAATTTTGACAAGCATCTAATTTTTAAAAAGTCATGCATTTAATTGCGACATTAAAAGCCCGACTGAGCGCGGACAGAGAACGAGGCGACACTTAGGCATGAAGATGAACTGAAGGCCACAGAGACGATGTCTGGATGCCGCTGGGCCCCTATATGGAGCATGTGTTCGCTCCCCTCCACCAAATTATGACAAATATTTACAAACACAGGCAGCTAATGCTCCCATTTCAACGGTCACATAAATAAGTGTTATGAGCTCCCGTTCCCGCCAAGCTTTTCGTCACAGATTTTCGCTGAGCCAGGCCGAGCCGAGCTCCCAGAGATCCCCATCTTACGTACATGTACATATGTATGTATGTGTGTCAGCTGGCAGCGGGCGCCATCTGCAACACATGGCAACGATTGCCAGAGGAGAATTACACACTAAATTTAGCATCTTCGCAGCCTCAGCCGAGTCGACTGCGACCAGCCCCACTCGCTGAAGACTCAATTAGACAGCCACAAATCTGGCTGACATGCCAGAGACAAGCGCATTTCCATTTAGTTTCGTTCGCTGCACTTTGCATAGGAAATCACAATTCAGTGCAAATCGCAGTCGGATGTTATTAACTAATTAATGCTCTTTCTTTGGACTTCGCAAATAGTTTTCCAAGCATTTTACAAATGAAAACGTTTTTATACAATGATAATATAACAAAATGGAATCTTAAACTTATTTAAGACGAATGTTCTTCTTTCTGCACTCGCTGTAGTCAGCTAGGTGTATCTCTAGTTAATATATATCTATTCGTTCACAATCCGAAAAGAGTATCTTTGTCGAATTACAGATTTTCTCATGAATTTGTTGTATTTGTAATGTTTGTGATAGAAATATAATTTATATATAAATATGTATATGCAAACTAAATAATTAAGAGAGAAAATCATCCAATATATATTCTATATTTATAATATAAGTTTTTAACAATATTTTTCGAACTGCTTGTGCTTAGAAAATTTTAAAATTGGTTATAATACAACGTATTCTAAATATTAAAAACAATATAATTAATATAATATTATCTTAAATCAATTTTAAGCAAGAATGTGCAATGAAAGTTCAAAATACAGTTACCGCGGGCGAACGATTGAAGGCTCTATAAAGTATTATGGAATGAAGTTAAGTCCTTGGGCGTATGTGCCAGTAAGTGAGCAAGAGAGTATTATATATGTACATATATTATTATAATAAGGGAATAACAATGATCTATTACACTCTCACGCTCACTCTCTCCCACACACAGTCTCCCTAGCTCTCTGTCTTTATCATAGGCATATACATATGTATATAAGATCGTATAGCCCATATCAAAACGCTCGCAATTGGAAATAATTTTTGAGAATAAAAGAAATGCCCAAAGCCCCTATGACAAGTAGTTTCTGATTGGTATATTCTACGAATAGACTTATTTTTGATTTCAATTATTCACTGGTAATATTTATTTTGTGCAAAGCAGTATGTTACGATATGTACTATAAACACTTAGCATATTGCTCAAATGCTTTCCGAATAAATTGAATCCATTTCTCCTCTTTCATTGATGGGCAGCTGCCATTGGCTCGCTTCGCCTTTTAACAATTCAAAGCAATTCTGATCGATTTGGTGGCAAAAACGATTGAATTGGAAGTGGAAATGGAAGTGGATGTGCAAGTGGATGTCACTGTGGAGCCGTAAGGGACTGCCAAGTCAAAGTCACAAAGCTAATGGGGCGATAGGTGGGCAGGGGACGGCTCAAGTCAATTGTCAGCGAAGCACTTGAGTGAGGTGCCGGAAAGCATTTCAAATTAGAAAATGGAACGTACTGCGCAGTGCAGGGGCTAAAGACAACGGCGATTACAAGGCTTTCTGGTCCCGTGGAGGAGCAGCCCGTTCACACAACCAAAGGCGACTCAAACACTGGCCCATACCGTGCTGCCGCCTCACACCCTTGGCCCGTGAGTGGCGCATTGATTTGAACGAATCAAAGCGGTATGCGCACTAAAAATACCAACAACAAGCACCAAGGCAATACCAAATCCAGATTAAGCGTGACGGCTTGGAAACTGGGCGTAGCCCAATAATCAACAGGCTGCTCAGTGTGCGAGACGAGGCCAGCTAGCAGCTGCGTCGCGAGAACTCGTGTGTGTGCGAGAGAGCGCGCCTATGCAGCAATGGTGGTGGGCCACACAGACTTCCTTCCAGCTGTGATTCCAACTGGAATGCACGCAACAGCTAGGCGTCTCGCTCGCACAAGTCACTTGGGTGGCACTGGTGGTGGGTGTCGCATTGCTCACACGCTTGCCAAAGCAGAGAGCGCAAAGAGCTCGCTGTCGTTGCTTCTGCTTTCGTCAGTCGCTGTGCTTTCTGGCGCACGGACGGTTCGTTTCGGTGTGGTCGCTCGCTCACTTCACGCTTGCCGAATAACTGTAACCGCAAAGCAAGCCAACGAGTGCGAGTGCGAGTATTTGTTTTAGTCGCGCTCTCACAGCCTCTCGCTGGCGCCAACTGCGCTGTCGCCTGTTCGCAGTCACCGTCGCAGTCGCAGTCGCAGTCGACGCACAACTTGATTTCTTCCAATCTTGGCTGGGAAATCGGAATCGCAACAATTGGAATAGTCGTCGAATTTGCGTGTTGCGATAAGCTGGCAGCCAACCAGCCACCCAGCCACCCCCGCACCTGGTCCACACCCTCAGCGTGGCGTGTCAAGTGCACAGCCAGCCACTCGCTGCTGTTGCTGCCGCTGCCGCCGTCGCTGTCGCTGTCAGCAGCCAGATTCACTCTCAGCGTCAGCCTCAGCTGGCGCCGGCGTCTACCAGCCGCGTTCCATGGCTTCCAACTCAGCGCCCAGCGACCGGCCGTGATTAACTTTTACGGGTTTAGTCCGCTCGATGACGCCGAACAAAACAGTTATACAACAGCCCAGCAGCTGCTTGCTTGGCGCGCGTGCCGTCTGATAAAAAGCCAATAGAAATCTGTTTCGCAGCCGTTGCCATTGCCATTGCCAAAACGCGTGTGTAAATCTGTATTCGCATCCGCATCCGTTTCCGCTGCCCATGCCGTCGCGTGTGTCGTACCAAAACCTGTAAACGCTTACCAACACTTATAAAAGAAATCAAAAAGTATATACAAATTTGAGAAGAAAAAAAAAACTCAATCCATGAACGTTGGCAAGATGCAAGCGCCTGCAGGCCCGCATCAGCATCTGCTGCATTCGGCTGCCTCTGCCGCCCCGCCCCCTACACAGCAGCATCACCTGCCCATCGACTACAGCCTGGGCAACTTCAAGCCCGCCATTGCCGCTGACTTTCCCGGCGGCTCGTTCGCCGCCAGCCCCTCAGCATCCGCGTCGCCTCCCACAGCCACCTCGAGTGCTTCGCTGCAGGTGCGCGATCTCAGCACCTTGACCACAATGGCCGCCATTCCCTCGCCCACGCAGCTGCTGCATCAGCGCATGCAACCAGCCCAAATCACAGTGGATGCACATCAGCAGCACCACCATCACCCACACCAACACCAACACCAACAGCAACAACAACAACAACATCAACAGCAGCAGCAGTTGCCACCGGCGGCGACTTCGCCACACGACTACGCGCCGATGTCCGCCTTCAAGGCGGTGCTGCCCAAAAAGCGAAACACCGACGGTAAGTCAAGAGATTCCAATGCAAGATCTTTTATATTACAGAACTATGTGTGCGTGTATGTGTGCAAATCTTATAAATGCGTGTGTGTAAAACTAAAAAAGTGGTATTTAATATTTTTAAGAGGGTTTCTTTATTGAAGAAAAGTTTTGTCATTAAGTCTTAGCAGTTTCCCATCAAACACTTCTTGGAAAAGAAAGTCTTTTAAAAATAATAAATTAGTGAATATTAGACAGCGACAGTTATACAATAGTATAGTTTTTATTATTATTATTAACATTTATCTGCCAAAAATGTTACCGATATTAAAAAAGTCAAAAGACTTCTATTTTTGCATAAATTACAAATGTCTAACATTTGTTTTTTTTTTTTAAATAAAAAGAAAAAAATCATAAGTGTATATATATATATAAAAAAAAAAAAAAAAATAGCGTGTATGTTACTTTTATAAGGATTGATTTCAAATCAGAAAAAAGTTACAATAGTACTATATAAAGAAATAGTTCTGTCCCATTTAATTTATTAGGTTTTGTGACTGAAAATATATTGTGCAACAATATTTGAATTTTATTATTATTATTATATTTATTTGATCGCTTTCTATCATTGACATAACATAACTTAAAGTAAATAAAAGAAAACTTCAGTGCAAATGAACTCACTATCATAAAATAAAATTATTAATTTATGCAAACTATTTTGTTCAAAAAATCATCAAAAGATTTGTTTAGCAGAAATTGTATTTCCTGGAAAGATTTTGTATAATCATAAACTCGAATTATATATTAAAATATATAAATATAATTTTTTCATAGTTTTTGTATTAGTTACAGCATAAATATTTTTTTGTTAAACATATTAGTTCGTTTAAATATTATCAGCAATTTTTATATCCTTTATCTTTTATAGAAATTATAGATAGGTAAAAAGTAATACATGCTTATAATAAATTATGTTAATTCTTAAATTTTTTAATTCAGCTTAATCTAAACATGTAGCTAATATTTATATACATATATAATACTTATTTTTTGCACCGTATACAATTAAAGTCAAATTAAAGTAAAAAAAATTAGAAATTCAATTTTAAGAATCATTATAACTGGATTTTCCTTTTTCAATCGATGCAGGGTATACAAAATTAATACCTATAAATAGCTATATAATGTATGTTTCTTTAATTATACTTTTTACTTAAACTTTTTTTTCCCTATAAAAAACCCTATTTTATTATTTTATTAATATTTCCTCATTTGCTTTATTATTATTATTATTACAGATAATATTTATATATGTGTCTGTATACAAAGTTCACTCTTAAGTCCCGTCTCCATATGCTGAGCTTCAACCCAGTCCTTTGGCAATGCATCTGATGCGCCCATCCGAAAGCTTTTCCCAAATGCCACATTTCATATTCCCAAGTTAATTAAAAATATTGCCACAGATCTCTCTCAGTCTCCCTCACACACACACACGTACATACGTACACTCGATTGCAGTAAATTTTTGTAAAAATTATTTGAATAATGTGAGATTTTAAAATATTGCATTTCTGACAATGGCCAAAAAGCCGCCAACGTGGCCCAGAACAATGTCAGATTAATTGAAAAAATTGTGCAAACGGGGGGCGTAGCAAAAAGGGGGGCACAAAATATTCATTATTCCGTTTGTATATGTGTGCCTCTCTCGTGTGTGTGTGTGTGCGTGTGTGTGTGGCGCTTAATGGGCAAATCTTCCGTGTGGACATGACGGACAAGTGGATATCGGGGATTGAAAAATCCATAGCGAACCACAGATACGGAAACGAATGCGCACGGACAAGCCAAACCGGACAAAACTCATAGATACAGACAACAGGCATGTGTACATGCATATGTGTGTGTGCGTGTGTGTGTGTGTATGTGTGTGTATCTGGCAGTTGTCGTCGCCATCGCAGTTGAATTTTCGAATATGAGCATTGAATGAATGAATGAATGAGTGTTGCCAGCCATGCTGCGCACATACACAAGCACACACACATACACGCACACATACAGCACACACACACAATACACAGAGGCAGCGACAAGCGGATTTCATTTACCGGTATTACATGTATCCAGCGGATATGTTTTTAGCTCCACAGCTTGAGCCCGGCGCAGACATGGATATGCCCAAACACAAACACACGCACACGTACAAACACACACACACACACACACAGGCACACACACATGTATTGCCGTGCAGAATTTTCAATTCCGTTTGGCGCGCCACGTTTTTTGCTCCGCTTTCCGCATTTTCTCTTCACCATTTTCACATTCTCTATGCGTTTGCTTTTCATGTTGTTGGCTTTTTCTCTTATCTGTTTTTATTTTCCTTTTCCTGGCAAAATGAATTTCGCTTTGTTTGCTGAGATATTTGTTGTTGTTGTTGTTGTTGTTGTTGGGTACAATATATTGGCGAGCGCCAGCTTTTCACCATTTCCACAATTTCCCGAGTGTCTTGCGCTCTGACTGATTGGCCAGGCGGAGAGCTGTGCTGAGTTGTCGCCAATTCACAATCATCGCAAGGATTTCCTCCGCCCACAGACCCGCCGCCCGCCCATTTTCCATCGCTGTCGGGCTTAAATAAGTATCATAAAAAAAATAAAAAAATCTCAACAGGCTGCAAAGAAAATGTAATTAAATTCGTTACAATTTCGGGCTTGGAAATTTGGGAAATCAATTTTTATAATTGCTTGAAAGCGGAATAAAAAGAAGGAGAATTTGTTCCTTTCTCTCATAAAATAGTATCATAGACTTAGATATTAGATAGATTAGTTAAGTTTTAGTCTTATATTTATTTCTTAGTTCACAGTCTCTATTCGAGCACCCGCTATCACATCCACTACCAAAAAGTTCAAGCTCATCTCGAGGTCTCTCAAGATCTGTATAATGAGTCGCTTATTGGTGCACTTAAATTGTCGTTAATTCCTGGCATAACCTGGCCAGACTAAAGGTCAGCTATGTAATTTCCGTCTCGATTTCCTATTAAGTAAAGACATCAATTAAGATTGTCGCTTGTGGCGAATGGATCAACCGCTCGTTTTACGCCCCATACAATTAACGCATAGAAAACATAGAAGTCTTTCGGTTGCGGGGTTACGTTTACCGTAGCGCAAAGTGAGTCACGAATTAAAATAAATTAAAATTGTCGCCCACCCCAACAGAGAATGACGATACAGACCTAGACGCTGAGTCGAACACGAGCGAGATCAGAGATCAAATGGTCTAATCAGAGAGCCTAACGCACTGATTCATTCCTATGGGCAAATGATCTATCAGAGCGAAGACAGCTGCGCATACTTGCGAAATGATATCAGTGCCAGAAGTTGGACGAAATTTCGGAATTTGTGCCCCTAAATGAACCACATACATATAATTTATGTGTATATAGATTAACTGGGTTTATGGCATCGGAGTTGAGGCGATATAAATTCGACAATAAATTCTTAAGCCATTTTCAATCACACCAAACAATTGAACAGCGATTCGAATCAATTAAAAGCAATCGAAATATCCTATCGACTCTACGTGTATATTTATATATATATGTATATATACTTATATATAGATCGAGTTCTCTAATCAGTAAAGCGATTGGGCTTCGACTATCTCGAAAATTTACGCATGTAAAAACAGTTTTAAATTCCGAATACGGCTTGAATGATACACCAGAGCAGCTACTCTTCCAAGATATTCAGGGTATATGACTGATTCGAGTCGAAGAATTTGAAGAACGCCTCAAGCAATCACGATGACTGCCTGCTTTATAATCTAAAGTGGTTTGGCAATCGAAGCTGACTAAATAAAAGCTAATAATAAAAAGATTAACACGTGTCGTGCTTGTAGGGCATTCGAACAGGCGACTCGAGCTGAACAACTCTTTGGCCTGACACGGGCAATGCATGCACACTGAGCGAAAAACTGAAGACAATTAGATAGCTGAGAAGTGTGAATAATTTTAAACTGTTGATAGTTTTAGCATAATTCGGTAATTAAGGGAAGGAAGTATTAAGAATATTGATGAGAATTAGAATATAAATTTGAAAATTAGTTAAATAAAAAATAATAATAATAATAATTTGTATTTTTCAGACTATATTTATAAATTTTTGAAATGCGGTTTTTGTTTTTTTTTTTTATTTATTTTATTTTATTTTATTATTAATATTATAATTATTTTTTTTTTTTTCTTTTTTTTTTGTAAACCAATATCATATAAATTTATTTTTATAAATTTATATTTATTTGTATTTTGTATTTATTCAAATCATTATTAATTTTATATTATTAATATTATTTTTTATATGATATATGTATGTTTATTTTTTTGCGCTCTATGTACATTCAAATTAATTTACAAACATTTTCCAAATGAATAGTTTCTTTCTCATTTTAAACTTTATTAAGGGAGATTCAGAATTAAATCCAAAATATCGATTCGACTTTTGTCACAGTGTAGCGGGGTATTGCAGCTAACGGCGTTGGCTACCTTTGGCACTCGTATATTATTGATCAATAACAAATTGTCGCAACGAAAATCAGAGCAATATTTATGAAATATTTATGGCGCACGTCGTAATCATTGGCAACTCATCGAATATGCGCTCAACGGCTGTCATATATCTTTCAACTTCTCCCAAGTAGACGAAAATTGGGCATTGTAAATCTATAAAGATACCAAAAAGGGGCAGTCAGCCCTTGTCTACGTATGTATGTATCTAGAGCATGTATCTATGTATCTACAAGATACATTTGCAGCTATTCCTGCTGCCGTTGCCGTTGTATGTGTTGTTGCTGTTGCTGTTGGTGTTGTTGTGGTCGCTCGTTTATGTCAGATACCCAATCGCTAATAACTACGCACACCGCACACCGCACACGCTTTATGATTTACGATCCGAAGGTAAATAGGTAACGACATCTAAACATGTCAATATCCTCGCCCAGTTGTAAAATTGAAAGAGTAAAAGTATCGTAAAA